CTAGCGCCTAATCGAGCGGTCTACGGACAACTTGAACTCAATCCCTTTGAACGCGTCGATCTTCTCTTTTTCTCTGCACTCTCTCGTCCGCATGGCACTCTATGGCCGTTGTGACTTCGCTCACTCCAGCTTTTCACCGACTATAAGTAGCTCACCCACCCCGGAGTGACAGGGTTTCGTAACAGGACCATGCACAAAAGTTCAAGATGTCACGTAACTCTAATCGAGCTGTTCGCTACTCTCTTGCTCTCCCATACTGTCTACTTCCCGCCGCTGCAAACGCTAGTGAAACATCAGCAAACTCTAGTTCGATACCCAGATACCTGAGCATAGCGAATGAGGGAGAACTTTCCACACACGTATTCCACCATTCACAAGTTGTAACGTCTCCTTAGTGCTGCTTTCACTCTGTACTGGAGGAGAAATGTAATTGTACTGTGCGGAGAGTTCTTCTTCATTCGCTGTGCTCATTGGGGAAAGCCATTACATTCTGACATTTGGTGGAAGAGTAACACATGTGCTCTTGAACCTAAAAAACCAGTTGCCATGCAGGCTCTGATGACGGAATATCTCTATAATAAGATAATATAGAAAAAAACTGGAGGAGGGGAAGTTTTACTCTTCCTCATGTCGAGTTAGGGATAAATTTGGCAGATTAGCTGAGTAAAAGTATTTTTATGGCTCACACAGATATTCCTCGCAAAAGCAAAAATTTGCAAGAGTAAGGTAGTGTTCAGACTTCGCGACGGCAGCGCCTCAGTCGCGCGTTCGGCGATGCGCATGCTTGGGACTGCGTTAATCGCACCGGACACGCGACTGAGGCTGCTCGTCGCAAGTCTGAACCGCCTCGCCTTAATTGGATGCGACCAAAGCAGCTTGACCCTAGCCTTCAAAGCAATGCGGCCAACTATACCCGCTCGTTGCAGATTGTTGTAGCTGCTCTGAACCTCCGCGAACACAGCAGCGAACGAATGGGTAGTAAAGTTAGAAATGTTTGTAACTTGCTTCAGAGAACCGTCCGCCAATTTCGAGGATAGATTTTCGAGTTCAGCGTCCTCCTAAGATGCGTCCCATCTATGTAGCCGATCATTACAGCGGCCGGACGCTCCCCGTGCACCATGATGGTATTCTCGTTCGCCTTGCTGCTATCGCTTCTCACATCATCTTGTCCCTGCGAAACTCTCATTGGCTAGATGCATGTCTGCTTGGCTCGTCGACCTTTTTCTTGTGGTCTCGGCTACAATACAAAGCAAATATTGCGCCTATAAGAGGGCCTAATGGAGCGCAGTGTATTCCTTTTGCTTTCTCTTAACTCACCGTGTCACATAGGTACATCTAACTTAGTGGCGCCGTACTCGCGCCTACTCTAACTGACGAAGATTTGCGATGGCGAAATATGGCCTTACAATGGAATTGAACGATCAAACCCACTCCTTCACCGAAACGTTTCCACGCTGTCTGCGCTTGAGTATCGTTCTTATACTTTCCTTCAAATAGACTTACGGTAGTCGTTGCAGCCTTCAAACCTGAATCAAAGTTAAACAAGCACTTGAACCTGGTTCGGTAGGTTGCAAGGGGAAAACGTTTAGATTAGAAGTCAGAAAGACTTTCAAACTGACCCACATCGTAGTTCCACCAATTTCCAGAGTCATCGGTACCGGCGCCTGGTTGAAAAGCTACTGCTAAATCAATTTTGTTCCAAAAGTTGAAGGTGGTGTCGTCAGCCATCACGAAGTATCCTTAACGACAGTTCCCGCGATAAAGTGTCTCATGGGTAGTTGCTGTTCAATTATGAAACATTAGCTGATAAGTAATTCCCCAAAGAAGAAAAAAAAGCAAGGAGAGTTCTCAAGAACACCACAAACAAAATTGCTCCCTGACAGTCACACCGCGCTGCGGTTTCTTTACAAACAAACCCCTGGCAAACCCCTGGTATACAACCCCTGGCTAGCAAATCGCTTTTTCGCACCTCCCAGAAGATATCATCCAATGCAACGAAAAAAAATGCATTTAGCAACAAAATCACGGACGAAAAACTCTTGACAAAAAAAATTCCAAAAACTCGGCGTCCGAATTTAGGGTTACGGTAGCGTGCATCTTTTAGTGCGTCTCGAGCTTTTGCACTACGAAAATTGCATCACTCGTGATTTTTACGCGTTTTACCTTGTAAGATGGGTTGCATTTGACTGACTGTGCTCCTAATGAATAAAATGTGATGAAAGAGAGCAGGATTACTTATGGCTCCAGCGCAGACGGCAAAGGACATGCAGTTCCAATTAATGCCCGCCAAACAATTGAGCGCTCCTCCGTCAGAGGGCATCTAGCATGTGGGCGGTCTCTAGCTTAGGGACTGGACTACTTACACAAGGAAGGACGACCATGTACCACTTGAGCGTGGGGGCTGTCTTTGAATAAACATTCAGCTAAGAATCGTCCACGAGGCAAGGATCTTTTGTTCAAGCCTGGGATTATTGCAATGCTTCGGAGGTGAACTTATTTCACGTACAGTAATTCAATCCCCATTAGGACTGTCTCAGTTTTGCGCAAAACGCCTTAACCTGCCCTCTCCCCCTCCAGGCTATCAGCGCCAGCTCTTGTTTTACTGCTTGTTGTTTACTCTTGACTCTTGTTTTACTGCCTTCTTCGTGAAGGAGGCTTCCTTGTCGCTGGTGAGGGTTTTTGAGCAGAGAACCTACTCGCATCCATTTCGGCGGCTAGAGACTGGAGGGCCGAGGTACACAGCAGTGCTAGTGCTTGCGATGTGTACGCGGAGAGCTTTATGTGCAGGGCAACATCATGTGTTGGGCTTCTTCAACAGTGGGTCGTATTTGGTCGCTGGGGAGTGATCGTGTTTGGGCTGACAAAAAATTTTTTGATAGCTGATTTTTCTTGTTTTAGGGACGTTGTCACTGAGAGGGGGGAGGGTCGTACGGACTTGACCAAGATCCCCAACTGATGTTGTGCCCTGTCTAGGCAAGGATCGCCATAGGCGGCTGCACTTTGCTGAAATGACGAGGCTGAGATGGACCCGCGGTTTGGCTTGAGAGAGCCAGGAAAGAGGATGTGAGGACGCATGTTAACGACCTTTCCTAGTTGGAAGCACAGAAGCAGCAACATTGTATGTGCTCAAAAGGCTTGAAGACCACCCGATAAAGAAAGCATTGGCCTCGAAGTCAAACGACTGTGAGGAGTCTGAAAAAATGGGGAAGGACATCATCAAGAAGGGCTTGACTAAAGTGTTGGCCACGGCAGAAGATGTCTCTGATAATAGGTTGTCCGGAAAGTTCTCAGCGTTTTGTGTTACTATTTTTTGTACATTCATTGCTGATTAAAAACTCATTCTCCCTTGCGTCTCAGTAGTACATCCTGAAGAGAATTTTTGCGCTATCTGATGGTATAATTGCCGTTTCACCATTGCTTGATAAACCCCCTTTTCCCAAGACTTTTTGAAGCATGTTGAAAGAGCAAATTTTCCGGCAAATTTCGTTCTGGAGATTTCAGCCTTGAAGATGAACCTCGTAGCGGTCGACCTAAAGCAATACCTGACGAAGATTTGAAGGCATTTGTGGAGGGTGACCCATCCCAAACAGTTCGAGAGATTGCAGAAAAGCTAGGCGCTTGGCAAATCCACTGTTGCAGATGGTCTGAAACGCATTGGGAAGGTGAAAAAACTCGATAAGTGGGTGCCCCACAATTAGTGACCGGCAGAAATTGGCACA